TTTACAAGAATTTGCAGGTTTAGATTGGCGAGCGTAAATATTGGATCAATAGTGTCTTTTTTATTGTTTTAATTATGATATATCTTATTGAAATTTATTCTTTTATTCTTAGAATGGAAGTCACCGTATGTGCATCTAAGTACAGAAAAAAACTACAAGCTTGATCATTCAGTATATAAAGAAAATGCGCTGATTTGCTGGCTTGGTCTTGGGAGACGGGAGAGGAAATTTTTGTTGGAGAGCAAGCAGGACCACACACTAAATCTGACTTAACAAAGCTCTCTATGAACTCTTTCAAATTTTATAGAGAATTAAGGGATTGTCTGAATGTCCGCATATTAAATGCAATGAAAATCAGAGATGTTAGTTACACTAATCGTGTTGTTTTTAGAATACTTGGATATTTGTTCGAAGTTAAGATGTTAATTATGTGAAAAGATGGTGTATATATATATGAGGAGTTTGGGAGTTTCACTATAGCTTCTCATTCGAAAAATATTTATATGATGAAATCAGGAATATTAAAATTATTAGTTATTTATTATAAGTTTATCATCATCATGTCTTTTCATTGATTTTTTCATTCTAAATTGAATTAATTATATTGTAGATGGTCATTAAGACGGAATTGAAATATACTGCGGAAATAGAAAATGATAATGATAAAGCTCAGATTCTGAAAAGAAAATTTAGTGATTTTATTCAAACAAAGCCATCGCCAATAAAGGTTGCAAAGGTTAAGAAGTGAATATGCAGTGGATCCAAGGCAGTTTCTTCTGCCGAAGTTTACTCTGTGGGAGCATTTTTTTTTCTCAGACATATATATATATATAAACAGCAATTTTATTTATTTTCGGCTTCATCCGACTTAATATCAAGTGTTCTATATTTACTTTAATAAACCAATCATTTAACAAAATTTTACTTCGCCCACATTGGGCTTTATCTTTTTAACGTATGTGCTACATGTGGATGAGTGTAATTGTATCGGAAAAATAAAATGTTTATATGTTGATTTATTGCCATAGTAAAATTTCGCATACATAATGGCGTTTACTTTATTGTATGTATTGAAATTTTTCTCTTGGAAAGTGATCGGCGTTCTAAAACGGAACGCGCATGTGATTTTTTTTTCATCAGATTTTTCCAGATGTGTCTTCTCAGCCTAATATAATATTATTTACTGATTTCTGGACATGAACGAAGTGAGTAGACAGGTGATCTAACTAAGGATGATGTAATTGCCAAAATTTTAAAGCTAAAGGGTTGATAATCTGCGCAGTTTGTCCAGACCCAAAAATAATCTAGTCATATGCTGATCCTGGTTCTGCGCAATTTTGACGATCAGAAAAATAATATATTTTTTTTACACATACATTTTATTCATAATCATTTTCCCGAATTCCCATTATGTTTATTCGGCTAAAGAAAAAATCCGAAACCTGGTTGGCTGATCATCTTGTGATTTATGGAGGATTAAATCATTTAGCTATTATATTATCTCGAACTAATTTAACCGAATTATGTCATTGGAAAATCCCTTACATGCATATGAATATGTATATAGCCAGATGTGGACCTTATATAAACCCTTGATATGCTTATAATCGAATAAAAAAATGAATCTGATATTTTATTATAATATACTTGCTACAAACTGCTATAATGCTAAATATTCGCTAAAATGCTATAAATCACTACATTATTATAAGTCTTATTTATTATGCATAATCATCAAACATAACTAATATTAATATTATTCTAGATGAGAGTTTTAATAAGGTTGTACCTAAACCTGTTAATAATCGCCCTGGATGGGATATGAAATATGTTAGTAAATATATAAGGAATTATTGTTTTGGTACCAATAATCAAAATAGAGTGGGAATATGATACATTATCAGTTGTGAAGCCAGGCCAGTCTCTAGTTGGATAGGCAATGAGTGTTAGAATTCAACTACAAGAATTATTAACCAATCAGAGATTTAGTATATATCAATGATACTGCTTGTTTGCAAGGTTTGAGAAAGTATTGAAAGCATGAAGGATACAATATATCTGAAATGCATGAAATGTGACTCTATAAGCTAAATATGCATATCATTTTATTTTATAATATCTTACAATGAATTCTAGAGATGATTCTTCAATGTATACAAATTAAAATTAGTACTTATTCTTGTGATGAATATAAAAATTTTATATATGTGCAAAAAATTTAAAAAGTTATAAATCATATTTTAATATACCATTTTTTTTTAATATATACAGTGCGTGACAAAAGTTCACAGAAAAAAATTTGATATAAAAAAACTCAATTTTCTCCCGCAATATGTAGTTTATTAAATAAATATTTCACATGATAATCCAGTAGCTATTTTTAGATATGTTTATCAAATTTATTTAGGCTTTGTTTATGCTGATCAATTTTTATATCAAATTTATCATGGTTTATGTTATACAAGAATAA